GTTGGTAGGCTGCTGAACATGCTTAAGACATCTTAAGACATCTTAAGACCATGGTGTCAAACCCAAACGCCACAGAGCACGCCACAGTTGAGACGAGCCGGCTGAAGAGCAGGGCATCCCCCCCTTTAACCCTGAAGTATTTGGGGGGGCAAGGCAAGAAATTTCTGAGAAATATTTCACCTGACCACGTGAAACATAGCCCCTACCACATTTTTTTTTGGGCTTCCAAAAGAGGTGGGGGGTCCTCCGGATGCCAGACAGTAGCCTAGATACACGGAGATCAAAAAGCAAACCGCATATGACCTTTGCGAACTCAGTACGTCGATTTCAGTACTGTCCGAACCCTCAGCAACGCTCACAGCTGGAGTCGAGAAAGGTCTTTTGAAGCCTCTGGACATCTGTTCCATGACTGTAACTCCAGGACCTAGAAACTGGTTCCAAACATCTGTTTCCCAAGGCATCTTGTACTCCTCGGCGCGTAAACTATTCCAGGCAGAACTCACCACGGCATCAACGTTGCAACTGCTGGACAATGCAACATCTCGGTCAACAGAAGGAAACGGCAAAAATCCTGAAAAATCTGTAGGCAGAAAAGAAGGCTCATAGGATACAGAATGTATATAGATCTGTCTCGGGCCCACCAAACAAAGCCACCCCTTCAGGGTTATCTTCCAGTGATGGTGTTCCAAGATTTTCCACGTCCACATCCATGGCACCAATCTAACTACCCCCAAGCTAAATCTCGCACATCCGAAGTGCAAGTCAGGTCTTTTCCTAAGGACTCATTTAGTACAGCCTTAGGAATTGCAAGGAAGCGAGGACCTCTTTTTGTCCCACTTTTCATAAGGACTCATTTAGTACGGCCTTAGGACTTGCAGGGAAAGATATTATTGTCACAAAGGGGTGTGCTTCAGAACGATTGTACGGAACGCAGTCCTTGAACACGGAAGACGCTCCACCAGAAAGATTTGCCAAAGAGGCGAGCTTTGCTTGGTTCTCTTAAACCTGCCTTGGAAGTCTTGAGTGTTTCCTTGGCAACGGAAGCGTGATTATGATGCCATTGCTCTCATTGAAGCTATAGGATGGAGATTGTGCCATACTGCAATTGACAGGACCATTTTGCCACCAGTCACGCATTGCAGCAGTGTTCGCGGGAAGCACATCAAGCTCCAGAGGCTGCGCCTTAGATTTCACTACCAGATTGCATCTTGTATATATTCATACTCTTATGCAGCCATGATATTTCCAAGCCCACAGCATTCTAGAAGGTACGCGCTAGAAATCGTCGCAGCCGGAAATGGGACACAATGTCTGAGGCTAAGGGTTAGACTTCCGCCCGTGAAAGAGAAATTTACTGAGTAAAATGCCTTACCCTACTGTCACCCAGCCATATTCCGAGAGATTCGCAAAGATTGGCATTCATCTCAAGGGCTGTACAGAACAAGCCAAGATGTATGCGCCCAAGCACATATCAAGCAAAGTTTGAGGTGTCGGGGTTGGGGCTTTGCTCCTTGGAAACCTGCAGGTTACGAACCTTAGAAACCTTAGCTTTCGTGCGCCTCCCCCTGGGCCTCTAGTGCAGCTATTGCGTGCGATTGCCCCATCGCGCGCCTGCAGCTCTCTCACACAGATTCCCCCACCCCCCACTTTTCGAAGCGGCTGTGCCAGCCAGGGAGGGAGCCAACACTACGGTTTCCAAGCCATGCGAATTGGATATTGTTGTAAACCCACGCATGTGTACCCCAAAAATTGAAGTATACCCATAGCTGCCATAGCTGGCTTCGGACGTTGTCTGCTCGAAGTGGCATAGGTTGACGATGATCGTTTGGGTCTGCTTTGCCGAAGCGCCCTGTTTCAACTAACAGCCGCAGCTAGAAGCTGGAATGAGAAAAGCAAATTGAACCGCCAGCAGATGACGCAGTCATCACCTGAGTGAGGTCAAATGATCTCATTAGACCATCAAAACGCTGTCAACATGGGCTCACGGTTCATTTTTTGCCAGTAACACTTGTTAACTGTGAGCTGCTGACTTGTTTCAGATTGCCTCCCCATGTGTTAAATTTTTTAAGAAATGCAATTAGCAAGAGCCAAAAAAACTTCAGGCGCCAGGGTCTTGGATTCAGAAGGTGCATGGGGTTTATTCAAGCAGGTGCATTTCTTAAAAGGTATTCCCAAAGACCCTTTCGCAGCTGCATTTTGCAGGTGCAATGTTGTTGCATTCTGGGGATTTGCACTTTCTCTACAATTGCTTGTCAGAATTTCAACATCAAATGACATATTTTTCCGTCGCGATACATTCTGCCAGCAAATTTCCGTCAGAACGTTTTTGCGGAAGGACCGCTTCAAATGGCGAACTTAAGGCAAACCCATGTGCAGAGATGCAAAACCATCAGTTGCAAACGAAGAGACACCCACTTCGCTGTTTTCCAAAAGCAAACTCCGTCCTTGTGGTGAGATATGGGGAACGTTTAACCATGAGAAGTGTTTAATATGTGTGCCGTGTCCACTTTGCTTTATGGCCATGACTTCCAAAAACCCACCCCTGTATATAGGGGCTGGGGAGCACCTATGCAAAAGCTTGTAAGAATTATAACCACTTCAAGCTTGTCACCTTTAGGCCAAAAAGTGCAGACAGCATGTGGAGCTTGCAACACTTGCATGGTGGTTGCATATTCAGCTTGCAAGCCACGCGCTTCAGTGACCAATTCTACATGTAGCGTCGGTTGCGCGATAAGCTTAGGGACAGGTTGCCTGATACTTCCATCTCAAGCCCTGTGCTGTGCACAATGCAGTGGCTGGGGCATCAACATTTGGGTTTGGATGATAATTCCAGAAATATAGAGATCGGCAAGGCTTAAGTCCCTCACGGACGGGGTTGGGTCTTTGTTGATTCTTGGGAAAATTTACATGACATCGTCAATATTAGCCGTTCCTCAATAAGCATTGCGCCGCAGTTTGCCCATCTGGGGTTGAACAATGCAGACTTCAAGAGTTGGATGGTGGACACTAGGAATCACCATCATGATTTGTAGCGAAGTTCCACATCTCACCACAAGGGCGTGCTACCAGGCGCAAAAGGCCTCATAGATCTGCGTGGTAGAGGATTCTTGCAGGAAAGAGGGCAGATTTCGGAGTCCAAAATGGTCAATATAGTCCATAACTCTGGATAGTGTCTGGAAAAGCCACCGCACCTTTTTCTTTGTCCTGGAGGGGCAAGTTGGCAACTGAGAAATCTTCCACAAGCGACGTCGAACTTTTTCGCACTTTCCTCAGACTCAGCGGCTGCCAGCAGAGCCAGAATCTCTTTCATGTTGTGTTTCCAGGGGCCGGATAAGCGCAAGTACGCACCGGAAAGCGAAAAATTAGGGGGGCAACCCTGGACCCGCGAAAGCGCGCCTGTTTGTTTATTCCAGATTTGGCTTCGGACAGGGGATCAGCAGGAGGTGTAGATGATGTAGTCAGCAGTGAGAGTTTTCAAGAATTACAGGTGCTCCTGCATATTCATATTGTTTTCTTTCCCGACAGAGGCAACTGGTGCGACATTATTGAACTTTTGTTGAGTTTATATCTTTCAAGAAACACATAGTCTTGTTTCAAAATGTATGTGCTTAGCAGCATTGGCCTTCAGCCCTGCATTTGATCATTCACCTTGGTCGGCAATGCAGGTTCATCGAAATCAAACCAATACGGCATGAAAGAGGATGCGCCTGTGACTGCCTGTGGTTGCCATGTGCAGTCCAACGTGCCCTGCACGTTCGTGAATCCAAATCGAATCAGCATGAAAGATGTGCCCAACTGCGCTCGCAGAATCCTGCGCAGCAATCCTTGCCATTGCTATGATCCGCATTTTCGATTTCCGCCAAAGCGCGAACGATTCCGAGACTTCCGCTATTGCCTCTCAGATCAGAAGCCTTACGACACGGGCATCAGCTGACCCATAAGAGCATGTCAGCGCCACGTTGTGTGCCCAGTGCAGCTTGGGATATTTGGAAGGTTGTGCGCCTCAGTTTGAAAAAACGGTTATCTGAGTAGGGGGAGGATTTGAAGGTTGAAGCCTCGAGTATTGGAATTTAGAAACTGCTGTGTTGGGACTCGAAGGGTTGAGTCGGATGGGAGTCTATGGGAGCCTTGCGTTTCTTTAGCGTAGCGTTTGTTGACAAGGTTTGGCTGGTAGCATACTCCTCTCGACATGATTTCCTCCAGCGTCCCTCAGCACAGGGTGCGACACTGATAGCTCCTTGCCTGTTTTACACAACTTACTTTCTGACGTTGGTGAACGTGTACTAGACTTGTAATGTCTTGTATTCTTTTTGCAAAAGTTTACATCTCAGAATCTTAGATGTTGTTTCTCTGCTTGCATCTTTTTGTATAGGCACTCCATCCCAGATCGGACGTGTTGAGGCCCCATATGTAAGCTTTCTTTGGGAGCGCCCAACGCCTATACAGTTCAAGTGGAAATTAAATATGAAAGTATTTTATATATATAAGTCGAGTAATTCATGTTGACAAATGATATTTGTCGTGTCATGTCTTCACGCTCATTTTGATTTTGCAATATGTGACTTCTGTGTGCTTTTGTTTGTCATTTGGTATATGTTCGGTGTTTGCTTGTTACTATTTTCTGTGAGATAGTGCAATAACGTACCGCAAGATGTTCATGTACAGTTTTAGGGCATGAAAAGCATGCACGACACAAGAACACCTTGCGTATTCTTACCGCAGCGCTTGAGCCTCAACGGGAAAAACACACCGTTTTCACACTGGCAGCGGAGCGACTCGGCTCTTTCCCCAGGGACGCGTTTAGCTTAGCCCTGGGGCCCCGATACTCTGACGGCAAAGCCCGTTCCTTCATTGGGACACCCAACCTGCATAAATCTCCATGGACCGTTGGGCTACTCCTGCAATCAAAACCCCTTGTACCACTCCCGGTGGATAAGGAAAACCAAAGTCACTCGTACCACTACCGTGGACAAGAGAGAGCAAAAGATCAGTCGTGAACTATGGCAGTCACTTCGCTAAGGTATGTGCCGAACAATGATGTCGAAGTAGAGTTCAACAAACAAGGGTTTATTATCTACAACGGCAGCATTGCTGACTTCCATGAATGGGAATTTTGGTTGCAGGCACTTTACCAGGCGACCAAGCAAGATGAAAGATCAGACCTCGGTAGTAAAGTCTTGGAAAGTCTGCGTGGATATGCTTTTCTCATCGCAGAGGAACTTGGAATGAGTGTGCTGAAACAATCTGATGCCGCAGTACAACTCATCGAAGCTGTGCGAAACCATGCATTCCCGATAAAAGAACTTGAAGCAAAGGAACTGTACAGGATGGGAACCTCTTCCTCAGGAATACTCTCTCGCCAGGCAGGTGAGATGATGACGAGCTACATGTCGCGTCGCCACCGCTGGTGGAAGAAATTGCAAGGCCTCGATGAATCGATCCCGGTGTCAGAGACGATCAGAGCAAATTACTTCTCCAAGGAGCTAATCATTTCTAATCTAGACAGGAAGGAGAAGTTCATGATTCTGACAGCTGTGAACGACAAACCGACTATCGAGAACGTCGAAAGCACTCTTGGCAGACAGCACAACAAGATCCACGTGTATGAAAAGAAGACAAAGAAAGAAAATGGATTCAAACAAACTAGCAAACCATTCTACAAGAAACCATTCGCAAGCGGGAAATCAAAAGCCTACCTCGCAGGCGAAGACTTCATAGAGGTCGACCCTGATGAGGGCGACGATCTGTCAAACAAGAATGCCGACGATGGTGACGTCGCATGCTTAGCTGCAGACATCGGTGAAGCAGAAGACGTGGAGTTAGTCGAATTGGACGTTGTTGCCGCATTCCTTGGAAGCGATACTTTCGATGACATTGGCGACTCACAGTCGCATTCCTCGCTGAATGTGCCGTAAGCTGCAGCAACCGCTTACCTTGGCTGCGTCAAAGGAAAAGGCAAAGGTATTCCGATGCGAAAGGGAGGCACGCATGGGTACAGACCACGCGTCAGCCATCTGAGTATCGAAGACAGACGCCGCAAACTTCAGGAGATCAAGGCCGAGACACCAGGCCACCAACACCGCCAGGAGTCAGTGTAGCAACCAAGAAGATCCGAGGCAAATGTCTCACAATTGTCACACCGAAAACTTCGAAATCAGCGACCCCAGCACCAGAGAGTGCAAGGCAGTACACAAGTTGCTGAAGAAACTGACCAAAGGTTCGTATGATCTCAGCCTCAAGGATGACATTCACATGAACACATTCCGAGACAGCCTGAGACGGAACTTCAAATTGTTGGGAGACACCGCGACCACAACACGTTTGTATGTGACTGCAGAAGCATCGGAGATCCAGCCCGAGATCCGAACTCAGAAAGCACATTGGTACTTTACCGGCAAACCCACCCAATATGACCAAGCAGATTTCAAAAGTTCTTTGCAGAGCTGTACTGCCACACTTTCAACATGCGGAGACGCGAACGAAACGAGCACGTCTGCCTCATACTCTTTTGCAGATCAGGCCGACATCGTTCCGTTGCGGTCTCATATTGCCTCCAGTATTGCATGACGCTCGCAGGTCTTGAATCTATCGGGATCCATCACGCCAGTGAGGGTTGCTACTGGAGGGGTACGTGTGGGGGATGTGAAGACTGCAAGGGAGAAACTGAGCAAGCCAAAGCAAGCTTGGACACCATCCGTCACACTCTGGAGCAGCAGTGGTCCACTCATGAGGACGACTGCTCGCTTGTATCTCTGGAAGAATCGGCAATAAGGAGCGAGAGGAAAGGCATGAAGACAGAGGAAGCTGAAGCAGCATCATCAGCGTCCGCACCTTCACAGCCAGTACCGGTGAAAGCAATGCCACATCCGCAAGCTGAACCTGTGGAACTACCCAAGGATGACCGACCAGCAATGTCGAAGCCACCTTCGACTCCACCACCGCTGAGAAAGATCAAGTCAGAGACCAACAAGCAACCTGAAAAGCTTACAACGCCCAGAGGACGCCTTCGTGATGTCCAGGATTCCGAACAGGAACCTGGAATTGATGCCAACAAACCTCCACTCAATTTTGGACGTCGTCGCGGAGATCCGAGACGAGGGGTGCTAGACGTTGGCAGGCCGTACCTGACCAAGATCTATGATGTGTTCTGTTCAAACGGTTTGGAAAACTTCCACGCTATGCTGAAAAAGGCATTCACATGCCACCCCGGAACTCATGATCAGTGCTAGCAACAGACACTTGAGGAACCCAGAAGTCGCAGCCACATTGGTCATGACATGTTTCAGAGAAATTCTTGGGCGAGGACCGAACAAGCCAGGAACCGCAAGTTCTGGTGGAGAAAGGGTAACAAGAGCCGGAAATGTGGAACTCAAGGAAGGTCCGAATCAAGACCAAGATCCGAATCAAGACCAAGAAGGAACTTGGAGCAGACCAAGTTGACTACAAAGGCGATGGAGATGAATCAAGTTATGAATACGAATATTCATACGAAGAATCGTCCGCAGAACCACCTCAACCACCAAAGAAGAAGTCAAAGGAATTGAAGCAGGAGCGAAGTGATGATGATCAGGAGATGACTGGGGCACCAGCATCACACCGCGGAAGTGTCAAACTCACTGGAAAAGCGGAGATCGACAACGCCGTGAAATCCAGGAGGGAATTTCGCGAAGCCGGCAAGCCAATGCCAGGCAGCTTAGATTCTGAAAGACACCACGGTGATGCAGACCACCCAGGTGCACGTCAAGACTTGACGGACATGCACTGTGACCCAAGTGAACCTGACAAACTGCCTGCTGAATTCCTGGACCAAGTCTTCGATGGCCAGAGAAAGCGGAAGAATTTCATCGTATGGTTGCAAAGTCCATATGGAGGACCTAGCAGACCTAGCATTCGTGTCAATGCGAAGTACGCACCAAAGAACACCTATGTTCCAGTCCCGGACAATCTCATGTGGAATCGCAAAACCACCATGATCCAATGGGAAGAAAATGGTACTTGGGAATGTATCGAGTACCGGACCAAGATGCACAACTGGAAGGAATTATCGTACGATTGCCACCGCAGTTTGACTTTCTCGTTACCACCCAAGTGGGACGAACAGTTAAAGACGGCAAATGTTGAATGCGCGAACAACATGCCGGAACTATCTGCCAACAACCCGGTCATGACAAAAGCCGACCGAGGTATCCTGAATTCCAGGAACCGCAACCTCACGACCAGGGATAGACTTCATGGAAAGCCTTGACATGCGTGGGAGCGCTGACGATGTGTCTCATTTTGGAAACCTAGACTGGCAGAAGAAAGTATTCAAAGAAGTCGACAAAGTCCAGCCAGAGGTTTTGACGTTCGTCATACACAAGAAAGACAACTATGAGAAGCATGGAGCTGGAAACTGGTTGACTGAAATATTGCAACAACAAGTCAATAGAGGAGGGACAGTAATCGTTTTTGATGCAGGAGCAACACCAAGGCGGAATGAACTGAATCTTGAGGAGATTCCAGACCTGGCTCAGATACACCAGTTGAAGTGTACTCCCCGTACGCTGGTGATCTTGGCATTGCAACATCGAGCCAAGCAGTTGGGGAAGCATTCCAATCTTGGGCAAGCAAGGAAAACAGATTTTATTGTCCAACGTCCACTGATACGCTCGGAGAACCTGAATTCGGCGAAACCCTGGAACCGTTCTCGACCATATCCATGGCAGATCTCTAAACACAGCATTCGCTGCTGAGGGAGCCGTCGGAACTGCACACGAGGAAGGACCTCTGGACGCTGTCATGAATGAGCATGATGAGTTCATCACCATTGACCCAGAGGCGGCAGCTTAGGAAGCCGACCTCCTAGACGTCTTACCGCTGGCAGGCTGGCCACGGGAAGAAGGCGATGTGCGAATCGCTATTCGTCGATTGCACATGATGCTTGGACACAAACGAAAAGATGTCGTGGTTCAAGTTCTAAGAGGAGCAAAGGCACCACATCGACGCCGCTATACAATTCAGATGTGACGGCTGTCGCGCATCGGAAGAAAGTTCCAGAACCCATCCGGTCGCCGCGCCACCAAAGTTTGAGTTCAACCATGAAGTGCTCATAGATGTGCTGGAAACCTATGACGCACGTGGTGAACGCTACTCGTGGTTAAATATCATTGACAACGGGACCTGTTTCCAGGCCTGTGTGTTAGTGAGAGTAGGTGGAGGACAGCCTACGTCTTCCAAATGTCTCCAAAAGTTCATGTCACATTGGGTGTCATGGGCCGGTTGGCTGCGGATCGTTACTATACCGACCGTGGACTTCATAACCGGGGATGTTTCTCAAAGGCTCTCGCTGCACACGGAGTTGTTCAACGATTCGCAGGACTGGAGGCACCAGAGCAACTGTGGGCCGATGCGAAAGACATAGCGGATTAGTCAAAGATGTTTCCGCAGGATCGTCAAAGATTTTGCACCAGTTGGAAAGCAAGCAGTAAAGGAAGCTATGTGCGAAGTTGTAGCAACGAAGAATGAATTTATCCGACGTGGGGGATTCTCACCTCAACAATGGGTATTACGCAAGCATCCACAGGAGTCGGACAAATCCTAGATGAACAAGAGCTCGGAGACCTAGGAGTTTTAGAATCTCAAGTCGGTGGAGCCGCGCAATTCGGCAGGAGATCAGACATGCGATTCGCCGCTCGCAAAGTTTTCGTGCACGAGGACTGCAGCCGCAGATCTCGCGCCGCTGTACTCAGGAAGGCAGCACCCATCCACACAAGTTATCAAGTTGGAGATATCGTCGTGTAAGCTGTCTTGTCTTCGAATCCGATGATTCTGGCTGCTGATGACCAAGTCGGGTCCTTTCCTGCTTCGCGATCGAGTCTGATTCCAATCGCTGCTGCACTCTCGCGACTGAGACCGTGTACCACGGCTGAACTTCTTGCACATCAAGTTTTGACAAGAGGGCAACTCAATATGACCCTGTGGAAGGTGAAGGAGGCCAACAGCAAAGATTCGTTGATTTCAGGGGAGAATATGACGAAATGCTCGGCGTGGCAGAAACACCTCGACCCCGAGCAGCCGCATCTGCCGCACCTGAGACACCAATCCCGAGAAGAAGACGAAGATCCAGAAGCGGAAGAAGACCACCGATTGAAGATCGAGGAATATCCGACTTGATGCCGCCACCACCACCATGTGAAGAATCACGGGCGGGGACCCGGAGAAATTCTTGGTAACAGACCCTGATGTAGAAGCTATGCCAACTATACGCCACGCCAACTTCCAGACATGACCGAAACCGCTGTGCAAGGTGACCAACCACTCATTATTGAACCTGGTCCAAATGTCGCCAACAAAGCAGTTGGGATTGTTATAGACAACCCAGAAACTTTTGAAGTGTTCACCCCCGCGACCGACACGCATACAAAGCGTTCATGGCAACCCGAACTGAAAGCAACTCAGGAAGAAGAAAGAAATCTCGAAGAAGAGGAAGGAAGCTTCGGGAAAACTTCTCAATTCTCAGAGCTGATGAAGAACAGCAAAAGGGCATGCTGGGGGCATGCAAGAAAGAATGGGCGAAATGGCAACAATTCAACGCAGCAGAAAATATATCGAACAAGCAGAGGAGCTCATACGGCAAGGGTATCCATGTGTACCACTATAGTAAAGCATGGGCAGAGACAGACAAGAACGAACCGTTGCGAACACCGGGAAAATATGTTGAACCTCTTTACAAGGCAAAACGTGTAACCAGCGGGGATCTTGAACAGACCCCAGGAGCGACTCACCTACGAGTAATATTGAAGGTCAAAACCTTTTATTCTCATTCGCATCAAGCAAAGATGCGTAGTATCATCACTTGACATCACCAATGCTTACTTCCAGGGCAAAGAGATGGATCGATTGCTGATACTCAACCTCCGAAGGGAACGGACGTGGAGGGACTGTCAGTCGATGATTATCTCATGGCCCGAGTACCCGTCTACGGGACTCACGATGCCGGAAGAAATTCTGGAAACGACTCCGGAAGTACCAGAAGGAAAAGGACTTCAGGAGAATTTTATTTTCCGTGCTGTGTATACTTTCTGTGATGAGACAGGGGAACCCGCACTTATGTTGGGGTCTCACGTTGATGATTTGATTTGGGCATGCCACCCCAAATACCAATAAATCATCGACGACCTCAAACACTTTCAGTGTGGAAAAGTCGAGCAGAAGAAATTTCGGTATTGTGGAAAAGAAGTAGCGCAAGACGATGATTTCACAATTCATGTCGTCGATCTTCTTGGGCCTACGATGTATGTCATGTGAGTCATGTGTTTTCTCGATTGAAGCATGTTGGAACTGAACTCAGCCGAGCTGTGGCGGTTTCTGAATCATGTCGACAATGCAGGCCCGACCTGTCGTATCCTGTATCCCAGATGATGAGCAGTGTGTCAGGAGGATCTGTAGCAGACCTCAGAGCTGCAAGCAAAGCAGCTGAGCTATCCGGACCGGTGACATTGGATTAACATTCAAGTCAAAGGTGATCGACTGGGAAGATATGGTCGCTTTGACAGTGATGGACGCATCACATGCGAACGAAAGTGAAGAAATGATGATACAAGGTCAAAAATCAGTTGAACCACACCGCAGCCAGGGAGCGCGTATGTTCCTTTTAGGAACGCCAACCCTGTGGACCGGTCACACTGGACACTTACATCTCATCAGCTATGCCAGCAAATAGTGAAGCGCGTTTGCAGTTCCACGATTCAAGCTGAGACTTACTCACTCCAGTCAGGGGTTCAAAAGGTGATCGGATTCGAGCCGCTGTGGCCGACGCCTACGGAAAGTTGGAGCGCAAAGACTACCTCCGCCGCATTCCTTAGACAGATCTGGTTCACAGACTGTAGGTCAATCAAAGAGACGCTACTGAACCCCAAAGCCACTTCACATGCTGGCACAAGACTCAGTATCGAAATTGCATCGCTGAGACAAAGCCTATGGAGAAGCAAAGGTGACTTGACCGGAGCTCCATACGTACAGGATGAACCACCAGAAGAACCGACGGACAAGGTACGATGGCTTGACACGGACGTCATGATTGCCGATCCGTTGACAAAGCTGATGGAAAGTGAAAAACTGATTTACACATTGAAAACCAACCATTGGGACATTCAACAGCTCCATCATGCAATTTTGATCAAAAGAGCGAAACGATTGAAACGCCGAAAGACCGAACATACCGAGATCGATACCCAGCAGGAAGTATCTCAAGCTGAGAGCTACACTGGTGGTGAAACGAACCTGATAGATCTTGACTAGGGCTATCATGGGTAGCATGTTTCACTACAGTGTACAGATTTATAGCGCTGCACATTTCGCATCCATGCCAGAAGAATCACGGGCGTGAGATAGTGCAATAACGTAGTGCGCATGGATGTTCATGTACAGTTTTAGGGCATGACAAGCATGCACGACACAAGAACACCTTGCGTATTCTTAACCCCAGCGCTTGAGCCTCAACGGAAAAAACACGCCTGTGTTTTCACACTTTCGATCTCTGGTGCGTTTGTTGAAATGCTAGGTATTCTTTGGTTTTGTTCTGCGCAGTGAAGGCACCTGGCCAGAAATGGCTCTCCGGATTCTTCACAACTTGGATGAAACATGATGAACAATGCGCATCTAAAATCTAGGATTGAGCCTATTTCAGAGCTGTTGCTTCTTGTGAAGCCAGCTGCCTCCAGCTGCCTGCCTCTGGACCACGAGTTTCCTTTTGTTGGATCAAGAGTTTCAACACTTGGATCAACATTCACAGTGGAAGGCTTTCCAACATGTCAAAAATGCCAAAAGGTATGTTATGTTATTTTATGTTGTGTCGATTATTCGGCCAAAACACCGCAAGGCGAGAATGTTTGTTGTGAACAGGCATCAGCAGCATCAACCACCACTTCCTGAAAAACGTTTCAACATAGGGTGTTGGGTTCTTACCTAGACAAAGTGAAAATGAAAGGATGGAAAGGGAACTTGTGGTAAACATTGCCATGGATTCAATCGTGCTGCCCAGAAGAAGTCGCGAGGCTTGCAATATTGCTTACGCAAGGCGTAAGAATCATGTTCTGAGGGCGAGTAATGGGTAAAGAAAACAGCAGCCTCATAGTTGAGATGTAACTGGACTATAAATCAATATTATCCCATACTATTATCCCATATTGTTCTCCATTATCCCACTATATATAATCCCCTGAATTCCCACCTAATAAAGCATAATTATTCGTGATTATCCCATTA